TGAACAATTTATATAGTTTAATAAAATGGTTTAAATATAAATTCTCTTAATAATTATATATTTTAAAATACTTAAATATAAGACTTCATTAATCTTACAAAAAAAGTTTTATAATCTTTAATAACGAAGTATTTTCCAAAATTGAATTTCTTGTAGATTCCTATAATTACGAATTTAATTTTTCGGTACTTTATTTAAAATGTATAAATATAATGCAGTATATTAAAAAATATTGTCAGTTAATTATAATAAAAATAAATAAATTAAATTTATATTCGAACGAAACAAAGGAACTGGATTTATTATATCTGGATAAAATGTAAATTTGAATCGGAAGAAACTGAATTTATATTCAAATGCCAAATATCAGTTCTAAACTCTACTTTAGGTTATGAATTAACCGATCATCATCTTCTGAGAGGCTTTGTTACTTCAGAAAACCTTATACTTTTGTTATGTATGATTACTTATAATGTGATTGCACTAACTACACTAATGTTTTAGATGACAGTCATATTTTTGTATGCAGGTATGATTACCATAACTATTGCCTACAAAGATGTTAGTCTAAATGCTTAATATGTTTAGATTATCCTTAGGTTGAAATTAAAAAAATGTTGATGCATTGAAAGAAAGTATGACAAAAAAAATTAAACGAAAAGAATTTATCAATGAGAATAGCGAAAGTACAGTTGATAATACTTTGAATAATGTTGAAATGGCAACAGATGATATAGCACAACAGAAAATTTATTAAAACATGAAAAAAAAATTTTTTCAAATTATAAATTTTTTATTCTATTAAATAAATTTATTATATTTATTAGATAAATTAATTGTATATATTTTATTTCAGCCATATATCTTAAAATCTCCCTTACATAAATAATTTTTCATACATTTATATTTAAAACAATAATAAAAGATATTTAAAAGTTTTTAAAATGTAAAATAAAAGAAAAAATTATAATAAAGTTCTTTTTTTAAAAGTTTCGGTATTATTTTTTATTTTTTTTAATACTATTAAAATTCACAATTTTGATTGGTCGATCAATGATTACAGGATTGAAATTTTGTGTAACCAATACGGTCCCTGAACACAATAGGGCGTTCAATTCTGATTGTCAAAATTAGCCAGTTTTTTTGTGAAAAAAAAATTTTTTTATTTTTTATTGTCAATGAAACGTTTAATAAAGGGCAGTATGAATTTACTTACAATGTTTACATCCACATCAAGCTTATACTAATTTATTTCAACATTTGATTTTAAATAACTATTTTCACTGTAAACATACCGGGTTTTTGTGTAACTTGCAATAGCATTAATACCTGATTAGAAATTCAAAAACTTAATTATCATTATGCAGCATATTTCGTCTGTAGAAAAAGGAAGAAAGCTGGAAGAAAGAGTTGTTAGAGTATTGAGAAGTGTGAACATTGAGTGCGAGAGAATAGGGTGAGTGTTTCACTGAGTTTTTTGTTGAGTCGTTGTGTATCTGAAGTTACGCTGCCACTAGGTGTAAAATGGCTGGGAATTGAAAGCTCTTCGTGGCCACAGTTTCTGCTGTGAACGTTCTTCTCAGTTTCCGATGTCCTGCTAGTTGCACATGCCCTGGGGATTTTATGGTGAATAGGATACACGAGTTAATGAATAGAAAGCGCATCGTGGCCGCAGTTACAAACGACTGTGAACGTTCTTCTTAATTCTTGACGATGATGACGCATATGCTCATATTTTTCATTTTAATTCAGAGGACCAGGAGACGGAGGAATAGATGTTATCGGACGAATAGTCGATACACCGTTTATCATCCAGTGTAAGAACTGGCACAGAAATATAGGTAGTAAATTTAACTATTATTGCTGTTGATAGGATGAATGCTAATTAATTTATCGACACAGGACCTTCCGTTGTTCGAGAAATTGAAGGGGTACTTACTAGATACCCAAATACAATCGCCGTTATAGTGGCTTCTTCAAAAAATAATTTTTACCCTGCAGCAATAGAAACCGCAAAATCGTCTGTGTTTAATATAATACTTACGGATCCAACAAGCATATGTGAAGATCTCATATCCATCGTTGAAAGTCGATATATAAATAGTAGAAGTTTTATTTTAAATTTTAAATATTTCTTTGTTTCATTTTATTTCTTCCAGTTCATTGGAAATTTATGGATCATGGGACATAAAAATTAAAACACTTTTTTTTTTTTCACAATATAATTTATCTTTTAATTTTTAATTGCGGTGTTCGAAGAGCTTAAGAAAAAATTTAAATTTATTTCCTAAATAACTGCTAAACTCGAAAAAAAAAAATTTCGCAAAGATTACTATCATTCACTCAAACCAATGGGGCGCAGTATTTCCATCACCTATATTTGCAACCTTATTTCTCGTTAAATCCGAAATCTAGATGCAGAGAAGGATTTAATACGGCAATTTTTATCTTCTCAAATTGTTAGAGATAAAACTAATTTGTCAAAATTTTATTTATTATTTATTATTTTTATTTCGCATAAAAAGGTAAATTATGCTTTTTGTAATATAAACGAATTTGATTTAATAATATAAGCTAAAAATGGGGACTTTCAGAAATTCCACTATATATATTAGCAGTGCTTAATAATTATCACTACATATATCATTTTCTTAACATCTTAACTAAGAAATTTGCATATGTTTTTTTTATTATTTTAAATAAGTTTTGTATATATTTTTTGAAATTTCATATCACATTTTCTTATATTTATAATTATTTTTTAGCATTTTTTTTTACAAAAAAATAATATATAAATAAAGCTCTGAATCAGGTTAGGTTGACCTGTTTACTTGATCTGATCTGACCTGAAAATCTAGGATCAGTAGATTTTCAGGTTAATAATAGGTTAGGTTAACAGATTAACCTGATCTAACTTGATCAGATAAAATTTGTATCAACCAATTATTCTTCTTGAATGATTTATTATTATTCAATTAAAATGATTCATTATTATTCTTCTTAAATAATTTATTATTATATAATTAGAATGATTCAGTTACATTTATCTTGAACAATTCATTATTATTCAATTTGAATAATTAAGTTATTATTCTTCTTGAATGATTTATTATCATTCAATTAAAATGATTTTTGAATAATTTATTATTATTCAATTGAATGATTAACTATCTTAGATATATTTTGAGGATTGCTTTCCCATTATATATTACTAAAAGGAAGATATTCTCATGAACCTATTTCCTAAAACTATTGTAAATTTTTAGACTTTTTCAAAACTTTTTCAATTTTTCAACTTTAACTCTTATATTTTCTTCACTTTTTATCATGAGTAAGTAAAAATGAAAGCATTTTTTTATTACCTATCAAACTGTTTTTTTCAGAGAATACTGAGAATATATTGACAATTTGGAAATAGAAAACTATTGATAACAACAGGAAATTACAAGATTAATTAATGAACTGACGACTCTTTTTTGTTTAAATAATAGGGATAAAGAATTTATAAATTTGCAGTTTCTTTACAACAGTCTTTGGTAACAGGTCAATAATCTTAAATAATGAATAGCTTCATCTACTAAAAGAAAATAATGACTTCAAGAGAGAATTATTCATCTCTGATAGTTGTTTAAGAAGTAATCATACAACTGCATCAGAGAAGTTGCAAGTTTCATTTTTCTTATCATATTCGTAATAATTAATGATTATTAACATTAATGAAAAAAATATTACATGCTTTACCAATTCTATATTTATGCTTATCATACATTTCTTTTGATATGTGATCTATGTTCCCTTTCCTCTTCTTTTATCCTATAGTTTTCTTTTTGAATTTTTTATTTTCTTTCTTTTATTATAGCTTTTTTTGAATAATCTTCTCTTATTATATCTTTTTTATATTTTTTGATTTTCATGTATTATCTTTTTCTAAAATTATTAATAAAATTCTACATATCATTATGCTTTTATCCTTTAAATTATAAAATTTTCTAATAAAATAATGATTATAAAATAATATATATGTTTGTTTTAAGAGTTGCCAATTATACTATTGATACTTTCACTTTTATTCTTATTATTTCTTCTAAATTACCAAATAAATATTATTTTGTCTGTTAATATTATATTATTGTTATATCATGTGATCAGTTTTCAAAAATTTCATTTATTAAAAATAAGCTAAACTTTAATAATATCTTCTGCAATACGTTATTATATGTAAAATTAAGATTATTCAAGTTTTAATTTATCTTAATTGTAATTATTAATGTAAGCATTTGATGCTTAATATTTCAAAATATGTCTCAAGTAATTTGTTTGTATGTTACTACATAAATAGGAGAAGAGGGTTCTGTCATTATTACCAAATATTAATATATAATCTTTTTAGATTGCAACTATTAAACGCAATATCAGAGAGTTAACTTTTTTATAATTTACATAGTAAAATCCATAGTTTTTAAGTTAAACAAAGTTCTGTTATATATTGAAAAATATATCAAACCTTTGACGAATGTATGATTCATCTGTGATATACTATTAAGTATATTTAATATACTATTGAGTATATTTCTATCAGTTAAATCAAATATTAATTATGTTTCTAATATAAGATATCACAAAAACGTCTCAAGTAAAAAGAATTTATTGATAAATAAACAAATTAAAAGATAAAAATACTAAAATAAGAAATACAAAAAGGAGAATTAATTACAAACAGAAAAGAGTATCTTGCACTATATTTACAAAAAAAAAGGTTATACACAGCTGTCATTGAATTGATCAAATTGCATCTAACAAATGATAGTTATTTTTCTAATGAATTTAGTCCTCTATATATACATTTAATATTATATCAAATATATTATATTAACTATATTAATTATATTAAACATGTTTAATAGTTTGATATTTTTAACATTTAGTATTATGTTATATTTGTAGATCATGTGTAAATTATATAATTATTATTCTGTACTAATATTATTAAATTGCTGAAAAATACGAGATGCTTGTAAAAAGACAGAATATGAGTTTACCTTTATAAAGATTAAAAATTGACTAAATAAGCAAGCATTGTATCAGATTCATAAGCCTTAGCTTAAATACATTTTACAAGTGTCTTTTAATAATATTACTATATCTATAAAAGTTATTTAAGTTAATTTGTGCTATATATAAAATTGCTAGATAAAACCTAAAGATTTTGCAAATTGTCTAAATGGAAAAAAGTAAAATTTAACGAAATTATATTAAAACCTTTATTAAAAATCTGTAAAATTTTGAAAAAGGTAAAACTATATCAAAGCTTATAAAATGTAAAACTATATTAAAACCTTAGTAAAAAATTAGTAAAACTATAGTTTAGTCATTTTACCAAATTCAAAATAAGTTTAGACAAATAATCTTAGTTATATATCTTATGATCAAATTAAAAATAAAACTTATAAATTTGTACTTAATTGTGTAGATATTGCTACTTATACTAAATAGACCTATCTTTAAACTAAACATGATTTTGCTAATATAGCTAAAGAATTTAAAAAACTTTTTAAATCTTGAATATATCTAATTGCTTGATCTAAAGTTAAAGTTTTAATAGTAGATAAAGATATTGAATTTCAAGATAATGTTATCAAACTAATGAATAAACATAATATTTAAATTTAATTAGCTAATTTTAAAGAATTTATGAATATTGTTAAGAGATTTAATCATATATTACAAGAGTGAATATTCTTTATTTAAGATGATGTTAAAATGAGATTATCTTCTACTGAACACTATTAAGTTTAAATAAAAAACCTTTCAATTTTTCTTGTAGAACTTGATAATTCTGTAATTTGACTTTTGGATATTTCTCCTGCTGAAGCTTGAAAAAAAGAATATGTTTTTACTAAAGCTTCTAAGCTATAAAAAGACCTATTGAATTTGATAAGCCTAAATTATCCTATGATGTCTTAGTAAAATATTTACTTAATTCTAATGAATTAAAAGGTGAGAGAAAACATGCAACTGATATGAATTGGTCTCTTCAGATTTATCATATTCATAAATTTTTAGTACAAAAAATCAGCTGATCTTATACCAGTTAATAGATAATGAAGATAATGGTCTAAAAAAACCTTTTATAAGAGAGAAATTTCAAATTATACTATTTAACATAGAATTAATATTCTAATAAGTGCTCATAAATTAAAAAAATCTTCAGCTTCTTCATTAACTTGTTCTTTAATAATGAAATAATTCTTGATTAACTTATAGTATAATTTATATAAATTCATTATAATATTAAGAATCTTTAAATCTTGTCTATAGTACTCTTTGTAATCATATTTGATTTTATAATATTTAGCTTCATTGGAAAATATAGTCATAGCCAATTTTAATATATATTCTTCAAGATTCTTAGCTTAATATAATTTTTAATTCTCTCTTTATATGATTGCATAAATTTATCTTCCTTCAGTTTTCTATAATAGAGTCCTACTTTGACTATATTTATTAATGCTTATTTGATTTTCTAAAATATGAGCTTAGCTTCAGTTAATTGAATTTGTGTACTTATTGTAAAAATTATGTTACTTTGGTATTTGCATTAATATAATAAAATCTTTTGTTTAAAATAAAATATTTATTTCTTATTACTATAATAAGTAAATATTCTTGCAATTATTTACTCAGAACTAGAGTCATCTGTGAGTAAACCTGCCATTAGCCTAAAGGGTATTTTGAATATTAGAAAGTTAAACTTCACATTTTCTGTAAGATTTGCAGTAAGCTAATTAGTGCTGAATCTAACCTTTGTAAGAAATATGCTAGTAGATTCTATGTAATCCAATATATTAATAGTGTTATATTCAAAATCGATGTGCAAAAAAAACTTTTTTTTTAAGTGCGGCAGTCTCGCATAATTTTTATTAATATTTATAAATTTACAGGAAAAACAAAATAAAATAGAAAATACAAAAATATCTATAAATTAATCTAGTAAACTAAACTACTTTATCAATACCAATTTTGCACTTTTATTGAACTAAATTATACATCAGAAAAGAAAAAATAACTAATCTAAACTAAAATACAGATATCAAATGTCCAGAAGGGAAGGCATGGTTACTACTGTACTAGATATTTGACCAGTGAGTACTATAAGTGATAGCTGCTATAAATAATAAAGGATTAATTGAG